ACCGCTCTTTTACCAGAATCTTTGATTCTTATTCTCAGATGAACTTACATAGTTGATGAGGCTTCCATGTTCGGAGGATCGGAAGCTCGTGTTCCTCTTCCCGCTTACAATCTCGAGCAACAGTACTCCGAAGCTGTAAACGTCCGATTTCACCGAGAAAAGCCCCTCCATCGCGTATTCCGGCGACATGTATCCGCTGCATTGCACGTCACGAAAACGTATTTCAGATCATTTCTCTTGCAACGTTGCCACATTTCAGACATCTTCCCGTATAAGGGTTTGATCCGGAAACTTACTACGTGCCCACGACGCGAACCGTGTTAGCCTCGTTCTGGTTTCCGCCGAATATTCTCGCCATCCCGAAATCCGAAATCTTAGGGTTCATCTCTGCGTCTAACAGCACATTACTCGCCTTCATATCTCTGTGAATGATTCTCAGTCTTGAATCTCTGTGCAGGTAAAGCAGCCCTCTTGCAATCCCTTCCACGATCGAAAACCGCAGCTTCCAGTCCAGCAATGCTCGTTTCGATTCATCTGCACACGCATATATATATGTTAACCACTTCAGTTTTTGAGAAAAACCCGTGAAAACGTTATGTAGAGGGGAGATATCGGACGGTTTCGGGCTCAGGGATCTTACTGAAGAGGAAAAAGTCGAGGCTTTTATTCGGCATATACTCGTAAACGAGCATTTTCTCTTCGCCCTCGAAGCAACATCCTAAAAGCCTAACAAGATTCCTGTGCTGTAACTTCGCTATGAGGATGATCTCGTTCTTGAATTCCTCATCTCCTTGCCCTGACTTTCCCGACAATCTCTTCACGGCTATCTCTTGTCCGTCTTGAAGCACTCCCTGTACAGACAAGAATCAAGAGCACGTTTCAACAACCGAGATCCTCGAAATTCCGACACGAAACTCGTTCTAAAACGGTAAATAACCACCTTGTAGACGGGCCCGAAACCGCCTCTTCCGAGCTCGTTTTCTCTGCAGAAGTTGTACGTCGCAGCAGAAACGGTGCTGAGACTGAAGACGGGCAACTCGGATGTGTTTACCGGCTTCCCTTCGATCACGATATCAATCGATCCCGAAATCGCTGCGGCCGAGGATCCTTTGCTTCTCGTCACATCAACGGCCGAGACATCGTTGTTCTGACAGCAAGCTGATGCAGAAGTTGCTGCAGAAAACCAAAACATAATCTTGTATTACGTTTCAGATACAAGGATCTTGGTGTATATACGAAATCCGGAGGAGATTCTTACCTTTTCTTCTCCTGAATCTACACAGAAACAGAAGAATCCCGCCTAGCAAGATCACGCCAACCACAACTGGAATGATGATCACGAGACTGGATACATGGTTCGTCCCTATGAACATGAAAAAACCCTTCGATCATCAGAATCCGTAAATAGATCGAAGAAAAGTGCTGAGAGATGAAACGATATGTTCAAGGGAAAAGACTCTTAACCTAATTCAGAACCGTCGAGACGGATATGAAGCGAGGCTCCGCCGTTCGTGAACTGTTGTACGTCGACCAAGGAACCGTTCCAGACCATGCATCCGATCCCGTTAGCGAAAACGTAAGCGTTGCAGGAGCAATCCTCCAGACATTTCTCCTTGCACTTGTCCGAATCAGTCGAAGCCAATACTCTCTCGAAATCTGGCAACTTCACCGTCTTCAATGTGAAAAACTCGTCTTTTTGGCCTTCAAGAACGGTACTGGCGTTCGTCCTCTGGCTCTGACACTTCAACTCTGTCCTTCTTCTGCACCCTTTGCTCCAATCTCCTGGAGAAACCGGTTCGTACCCTTTGATACAACTGCATATCTCAGCGTTCTTCATGTTACAGATACCGAAATTCCCGCACCGGTTATACTCATCGCACTCGAAATCAGGCTCGGACTGAAAAATGGTCCACTTCTTTATGTCTGCGTCCCATCTTAACTCTTGTTCTGTCCCATTGGGAAGTACCCGAAACCTTAACAAGACAGAGCGATCTGAGGGGACATAAGTGAAGTCCACGCTACCGTTTTCGTCCGGAGGAGACGAAAGCTTAAACCCGTAAAGATAATTCGTCGACGCTGCCATATTCGGTATGCCGGTGAAAATCGCCGAATTCCATTGCCCACTTCTCCATTTTCTAGTCCCGTTTCCTTCCCAGACCACGATCTCTGGCGCTCCTGAAGGATCTACTCCCATGGTGAAATTCCCCGGAGAAGGATCATCCGAAGATTTCCACGAGACGAATGCCCGGTTTTCTCCCATCCTCTGATTCACTTTTACTCTCATCTCAGGCAAGAACGTGTCAGTTGGGTGATCAAAACTCTGCCAGTAAACCTTGCTTTTGCCAGTTTCAGACAGAAGGAAGTTCCCAGAATCTCTAAGAACGGCTTCTGTGTTGCTGCTGGATTCGATTTTCGTGCCAGAAGACCAAACGACGCTGTTGTTTCCATCCGACAGGACGAGGTTTCCGTCGTTACCGAGCGTCAGAACTCCGGATTTGTCCGAGATGGGCTTCGCCCTGTTCGCAATCCAGACGACGGCTTTGTCTTCGATGTTTCCGTAACGAATCCCGAGATACCGTGACGTGGAGGTTCCAAGGCTGAAGAACCCTAGTTCGAAGATCTTGTCGGGAGAGACAAGAGGCTCGTGATCATCTCCATCTCTCAAGGACTCTCCTCTTGTGATTCTGTTTCCAGCCATGGCGAAATCATGAGTAAGAGATTGGAGAAAGAAGAAGAGAAGAAGGGAGAGCTGTCTCTTTACAGAGTTTCTCATCCTTCGAATGTTCTGAAGAGAACCCAAATCAAGATTTTGCATATTAAAAAGGAAGAGAGAGAGAGAGAGAGAGAGAGAGAGAGAGAGAGAGATGCCGAAGAAGACGAACAAGAAGAAACTTCGACCTCACCGAGGGAGAAGAAGGAGCCTGGAAATGAAAAATTATATTCGAAATAAAATAAAATAAAATAAAAACCAAGGCATAAAATAATCCTAAGAAGGAATGAAATAAGAAATCCAATGCATTGAATAATATTAATGAAGAAAGGGGCGAATGTGGTACGGTCGCATGTCACACTGTTGTATGGTCAAAAAGATTTTATGTTGACAAGTCGGACCAGAGAATAACACATGCATGCGAAATCGGAAACTAATAATTTCAAATGCATTGAAATTATTGCCGGTAAAGCGTCTGATTATTCAATGAATCGTCTTTCGATGGTAATATTCCCTTTCAACCTCCCTTCTTTAACATTTTTTTTCTCTCTTTTGAATAAATGAGTTTTATGTGCAAATATATTCGTTCCGGAGACCAATTGGAAAATAGAAATGACGGTTTTTGGAAAAAAAAAATATTAATCATTTTGTAATAAAAAACCATTAACATTTTTGAATCGGACCGTAAAAAAAATTCAAAACATTATACTCCTAGAAAATTGAATAAATCGAAATCGAATCGAATATATTTAAAAATCAAGAAAAAAAATCTATTTTTTAAAAGAAAATAAATTGAAATCGAACCAAATGTAATATAATAATTGAATAAAATAAATTTTATATAGTTAAATAATTCGGACCTAATAAATAATTGAAACGTCCATAATACTATCGTCATTAAATTTAATAATATATAATTATATTCGAGATAAATTTTATATAAAAATATATAATTATAAAATTTTAATATTTTTAATATTTTTTAAACAAAAATTAGATTTACATTTAGTATAAAATCAAATGGATACTATATATATATATATTTTTTAAAGTATAACAAAATCCGAGAATTATGTAAGACTAACAATCCAAAACCCAAAGATCTATGCTCTTAATTATCATTAATGAAAGAGAGAGAGTGCTTGCCTGAGATAAAATAGTTAAATGAAGGTATCTTTTGAAATATATTATTGTAAACGAGTGGAGCAGTTGTAACGATTAGACAACAAAACTATATTATATATATATATATGGTTTTATTTTATTTAATTATTTTGAGTGGGTGGTGGAATTGGAATATACGTACGTCGTTGCCTTTGGCCGGCACCACACACATTTGACTCCCATGTGGTCATCATCTCACACTTTTTATTTATTTATTTATATATTTATATGTGGCCTAACATTTTTTTTTCACAATTTGCATGGATTGGTCACACCCCATGGACTGCTTGCCTTTGGACATTTCTTTTCATTACGTGGATTTGACATTATTTCCTTTAAAATAATCTCATCTCATCCTCTTATTTTGACCTCATCGGGTCGAGTGATTACTCAGTGTGTGCGTGTGTATATATAATGTAAAATGAAATCGAATTTTAAAATATTTATTTATATGGAAAGAAAATCCGATTTAAGTACTAGTTAAAATCATTTACTCGTATCTAAATGAAATAATGAAAACGGAATACAAAATTTTGAAGTCTAATTAAAATAAAATATAAAAATGTAATATTGACATGAAAAATCTAAATACATGTTTTAAAATTAAAATAATCATTTTTTATGTTAAAAAATAATCAAAATTGACACGTACAGGAATGTTTTATAGAGAGGGATCTTGGAAATTTTAGACGATCGGTCGAATAAATATAATTTTTATTATTCGGCTTTTTTTTTTTGTATGAAAATTTTAAAAAAAAAATGGTATGAATTATTATTCGGCTTTTGTGCAAGGCTTTCTTTTTATGATATTCTTTTGAGACCAAAACTCCAAAAATCATCGAAAAAAATGGGGTTTTTTTTTCTTGTACATGTTATTCATATTTTTGTCCCTTTCTAAATGAAGAATATTGAACATAAAAAAAAAGCCACAGGCTGCTCTATGAAAATGGAGAGCCAATGACAAGAAAAAATCTTATACAATCGACCAAGATGACGTGGACGAGAGAGAGAGATTCCGGAGCTTTCAGACATGTTACATGTGTTCTTGTCTGAAAATAATCACAATGATACAATTCTTCCATAATGTAACAGAGAAGAAAAATTCCCAAACTTTACAGATTAAACACAAACATCCCAACAAGATATGATTGAAGTTTCAAGTCACTAACGTGGTGATAACTGCGTATACGAGGCATCTCCTCCATTCAGAGACAGCGGCAAGATCTCAGTTCTTGAAGCAGTGGAGCCTGTCGTGATCGAGTTGTCGCGGTCCGAATACGATAAATTATCCGACCACGCAGCGTTTCCGACGACGACGAAAGCGGGCCGAGAGGGCATCGGGAGGGTGAATGAAGAGCTGCTGAGCATCAGAACGACCGATGCCATCGTCGGTCTGTTGACCGAATTCTCCTCGACGCACAGCAGTCCGATGTGTATGCACCTCAAGATTTCGTTTCTTGGACCGGTTTTCGCCAAGCTCGGGTCGATAATGTCGAAGGCCGAGTCTTCTCTCCAGTTCCTCCACGCCTGGATAAAACGTACGGATCGAATCAACGAGATCGAGATCGAGATTTAGCTGATTGCGCTGAAAACATTCGAATCTTTGTCATTATAAGTTGATGTAAATACTGACATAAGTGAGGAGATATTCTGGACATTCCCCGTCTTGAGGCTCGTTATTTCTCTTGCCAGAAATGATCTCGAGAACCAACACTCCGAAGCTAAACACGTCTGTTTTCGCGGAGATTTGCCCGTGCATTGCGTATTCCGGAGCCATATATCCGCTGCAAGGTTCAGAAACGTAGGATTTTATGACATTGGAATCTACTGTAATGAGATCCGAGAATCTTGGAACTGGAAGTACTTACTATGTTCCTGCGATCCTGTTTGTGAACCTATGCGTCGTTTGATCTGTGTCAAACAGTTTGGCCAATCCAAAATCCGCAATTTTAGGATTCATCTCTTCGTCCAAGAGAATATTGCTCGCCTTGAGATCACGGTGTATTATGCGGTAACGTGAATCCTCGTGAAGGTAAAGAAGCCCTCGAGCAATCCCTCCTATCATCTTGTACCGTAATACCCAATCCAATAACCGACGCCTCTCGGGATCTGAACGAACAATGATCAAAAACCAAAGATCTCTAACCGATGGATTCTCGAAGAGCAACGTTATCTGATAACGAGGAGTCGTGGAAAAAGGATACCGAATAAGAAGTGGTCGAGGCTTGCGTTCTTGATGAACTCGTATACGAGGATCCTTTCTTGTCCTTCCAAGCAGAAACCTAGAAGCCTGACGAGATTCCGATGTTGAAGCCTGAGGACTAGCAAAACCTCGTTCTTGAATTCACCGTCTCCTTGTCCCGAGTTTCCTGACAACCTCTTCACCGCGATTTCTTGTCCATTGCTGAGAACACCCTGAGATATACATACATATGCATATATATGACAAAATATGACAAATCTTTGACAAGTGAAAATGCTCGGGTCGGAGGGGGAAAAGCATGAAGAAGGAGTTTAACCTTATAAACCGAGCCAAATCCACCCCGTCCGAGCTCGTTGTCGGGAGAGAAGTTATCAGTTGCTGCCTTTAAAGTCTCGAAATCGAGTTGCAATGACTCTCTCTTTGCAAGCTCATCCTCTGCATCTGCATTCGATTTCCATTATTCAGGATTGTTCACCAGATCAAGATCAATCTATAAAGAGTTATCAGATCATCAAAGAAAAGGAGTTCACCTTCCGTTCTCACTCCCGGCGCCTTTTTCTTCTTCCTCTTCAAGAACAAGCAGATGCAAGCGACGATTACAGTAACAAAAGCGACTGGAACGAGGATAGCTACGAGGATTCTAGATGAACCTTTGCCCTTTTCTGCAGAAAACGTTCTGTATTATAAACACGCTGTGATATACAACATGATGCCAAAACGCATTGATCAAACATCATGTGTACCTGTTGTCTTGTTCGAAGTGGCTGGCTGCTTAGCTGGTGTCTGGTTCGATGGAGACGGCGACGGAGGATCAGGCTCGAGATTAGACTCGAGCTCGTAGAACCGTGATGTCTCGAACCGGAAGTTACAGGTAGGACAAAACCACCTCATACCGGTTTGGCCATCACAACACTGCTGGATGTTCTGAAAACCAGAAACCAGGCAGCTGTCACATTCGAATTCGGACAAGTCCGGTGTACATTGCGCACTTCCGTAGAATCTGTTGAAACCCGATGAAGCCGAACCATTCCCCTCGCCCTGAGCGTACTTCCTGTTCGGCCCACCAGCCGCCGCAATGTCCTTCAGCCTGTTCAGTAACTCTGTCTGCAGCCTTACAAACTCATCCTTGTTTCCCGATATCTCCTTACCGCTAATAAACGCGAAGTTAGGGGTTCTCACTGAAAATCCAAGCGAGGATGCGTTAGAGTAACGGAACATACAGTGCGTGTACCAAATCACCGCCTCTTTCCTCCACGGACACTGCTCTGTCAGTGTTCTTGCTGCCTTCTGAACACAACTGAGGCAATCTTCTCTTCTGACTTCTCTTCTGCAGAGAGCAATAGCGTTCGCACTTTCTTCAGACGGGTTACCGACAGAGACGTTATAGAAGCCGTAAGGGCTCGGAGAAAGCGAAGACAAGGACGGGACGAGATGGTTCAGGTTGGCGGCAAAAGTGCTGTTTGCAGTGAAGTTTCCTCCGCGGCTTAAGCAGAAGAAACGCGGTGGAAACTCGTATCTGTCCGCCTGAGCTACGGCGCGGAACGGAAGGAGCGTCAGGACAATACTGAAGAACATAACTCGGCGCGGGGGAGACAAAGAGCCGGTCTTGTCTTGTCCCATGGAGTCGGCTGTCAAGAAATGAACCCTGCAAGATCCAAACCCTTTGAGACAGAGATATGGGGATTCTCAACTCGACGCTCTGATCTAAGAGGAGTCAAAGGATATATCTTGAGGGAAAAAGAAGCAGAAAGGCGATGACATGGATTGAATAATGATATAAATCTTACAGAAATAGATAGGAAGTTGTATGAGAGCTGAATGCGTTTGACCGTTGAATCCAAAGCTGCAGATTTGCCGTACTGATCAATCATTACAAAAGCAGAAACTGGACAATGAACATATAAAAATGGACCAAATGCCCATTTGCATTGCAAGTTGAGGAAATGGGTTTACATTGCAAGTTGATGATATAACACAACGAATCAGCAATGTGAACGTTACTTTAGTGAACAAGAAGGTCTTCATCTCTCCTTCCCCAAATGCCCATTTGCAATATATATATATCCATTGTTTATAACTTTATTCAGGCCCTGACCAAACTGTGTGCTTCATGTACTGCTAAACCAGCCCCAGTGTATTTCCGAGTTTTCTTCATAGAATCTTGCGGCTGAAACTTGGAGGGTTTTGTCTCTTGGGAAGATAGAAGGCAGACAAGAACACCTTGACAGAAGTGATTGGTCCAAAATTTATCTGTTCTGATATTTCAGAAGACAGCCGTTTTAATTTCAAGATGCTGTATCATAAGTTTGCTGAGAAATGAATATTCTGGGTTAAATCATACACAGAAGGAAACAGTGAATTCATGCCATTCAAGATTTGTGGACCGGAAAAAGTCAAAACTTTTCTTGAACCAATTCTCATGAAATCTTGCATCAGATACACAAAAATGGGTGCAGAGATATTGGAGAAGCTCCTAACGTGGAGATAACTCTGTAAACGAAGCATCATTCACGGAAACCGTCAAGACTTCACTTCTGGAGGCAGTGGACTCGGAGGTAGACAGGAAATTATTCGACCCGACGGAATTTTCGAGGACGAAAGCGGGCCGGGAGGGCATCGGGAGCGTGAGGGAGAAGCTGCTAAGCATCATAGCAACTGTGGCCATGGTGGGTCTGTTCACAGCATTTTCTTGAACACAGAGCAGACCAATGTGTATGCTTCTCAAGATTTCGTTTCTTGAACCGGTTGTCAAACTCGGGTCGATTATGCTTAGCACAGTGTCTTCCCTCCAGTTTCTCCATACCTAATCAGATCAATGGAAGGACCATATGAATAAATACATGCCATTGTGTTCTTACAGAATCAAGAGGTGGTTAGTTGTGTACTCACATAAGTAAGGAGATCTTCTGCATATTCCTCTCCTTGAGAATCATTGTTTCTCTTGCCGGTTATGATCTCAAGGACTAATACCCCGAAGCTGAAGACGTCTGTTTTCACCGAAAATTGCCCGCGCATTGCATATTCCGGAGCCATATAGCCGCTTCAAGTTGGAAAATAGATGGGTCGGTACCATCAAAATTTGTAATCCGGAAGTTGCAAAGATCATTATCGGAGTACTTACTATGTTCCAGCAATTCTGTTTGTAAATTTGTGTGTTGCTTGCTGGTTGTTCGTCTCGAACAGTTTGGCCAATCCAAAGTCTGCGATTTTCGGATTCATGTCATCACCCAACAGAATGTTGCTTGCCTTAAGGTCACGGTGAATTATACGGAAACGGGAATCTTCATGAAGGTAAAGAAGTCCTCGAGCAATCCCTTCTATCACTTTGTACCGCACTCCCCAATCCAATAACCGGCGCTTCTCAGGATCTGAATGAACAATTATCAAAATCATCTTCATGTTTCGCATCTCACCAATCACGAAAGAAGGGTCCGGTAATGAAACAGAAGCGAAAAACAATACCGAATATGAAGTGGTCGAGGCTTGAATTCTTGATGAACTCGTATACAAGGATCCTTTCTTGTCCTTCCAAGCAGAAACCCAAAAGCCTAACCAAATTTCGATGTTGAAGTTTGGCGACTAACAAAACTTCGTTCTTGAATTCATTGTCTCCTTGCCCAGAAATCTCTGACAACCTCTTCACTGCAACTTCTTGTCCATCATGAAGCACACCCTGAGACATATACCACAAATGAGAATCTCTCGCAGCGGAAAATATTTAGAAAAAAGCTCGATGAAGAACTTTACCTTATAAACTGTACCAAATCCTCCACGTCCAAGCTCATTCTCGGAAGAGAAGTTATTAGTTGCGGCCTTTAAAACTCCAAATTCAAGTAGCAGTGACTCTGTTTTCGAGAGCTCGTCATTGGCATCTGTTCCGGACCAACGCGATTTACCTAACACTGGATACTCAAAAAGACAGAACACGAGCTTATAATCAAACTAAATCAGCTAGATTACCAAAGTCATCTACAAAAAAGAAACATTTTTTTACCTGATTTCCTCTTTTTCCTCTTCAAGAAGATGCAGAGGCAAGCTACAAATGCGACGACAAAAGCCAATGGAATCACTATTGCGACGACAATTCTCGATTCACCTTTGCCCTTGCCGGCTAAAACATGATATGGATTATGAGTTTGTTTCGGAAAAGAGAAAACTTTCTGCATAGTCAAGCAAAACACACACGTGGGCACACGAAGAAGACGTTTCCGGGACAGGATCAAACCAGGAAATTCTAAAATCTGTAAGAGAGGAAACCATGCATACATATGCTGACACGAAACAGACGTGTAGATACACAAAAACACAGACTTGTCAAGCATATATATCATCAATATGTACCTCTTGTCTGATTTGATGGAGTTGGCTTCACTCTTGTGTCATTTGATGGAGCTGGTGACGGAGATGGTGCCGGAGTATCAGGCTCCAGATCGGCCTGTAGTTCGTAGAACCGCCATGTCTCGAACCTAAAATTACAACTGGGACAAAACCACCTAAGACCCATACTGCCATCACAACAACTTGGAATACTGCCAAACCCGAATTCAAGACAGTCGTTGCAGTCCTGTTCCGACAAGTCCGGAGTACACTGGGCGCTTCCGTAGAAGCTTTGATAACCAGGTGCAGCCGAACCGTTTCCCTGAGCATATTGTCTCCTCGGCCCACCAGTGGCCGCCATACCTTTCAGTCTATTTAACAATTGTCCTCGCAGACTTTCAAACACGGTTCTGTTTCCTGCTATATCTTCAGAGCTGATAAGAGAAAATGTCGGACTGGTCTCTGTTCTTCCAAGGATGGATCTGTTAGAGTAACGAAACATACAGTGAGTGTACCAAACGACGGCTTCTTTTCTCCGCGGACACTGCTCTGTCAGGTCTTTTGCTGCTGTCTGAACACAGCTGAGGCAATCGTCCCTTCTGACTTCTCTTCTACAGAGAGCAATAGCATTTGCTCTCTCTTCAGAAGGGTCACCTATAGAGATGTTATAGAAACCATAGGAGCTTGGAGCAAGCGAAGAGAGAGACGAGATAAGGCGGTTCAGATTGGTAGCAAATGTGCTGTCGGCGGTGTAGTTGCCTCCTCGGGTTAAGCAGTTATAATCAGGCGAGAACTCATATGTGTCCGCCTGAGCTAAGCTGAGGGATGGAACAAAGGTTAGGACACAGATGAAGGACAAAACTTGGTACAAAGGAGAGAAAGGACCAGTCTTGCAGTGATCCATGAGGGAGAATTTCCCGAGTTGGCGATGAACAAGTCACCGGCAAGACTCAAAATCTTGAGATAGACATAAGGCTCTCATGCCTTCTTGATCATGCAAGAGTCAAAGCTTATATCCAGGAAAAAAAAAGGCCAAAAGGTGACGACTTTCATCAACTGTCAAGCTCCATGAGCGACGTAAAATCTTACAGGATCGGTATGGAGTTTGTCTGAAAGCTGAATCAATTTGAACACAAAGTCAAAAGCTAAATATTTTATATAGAATGAGAAGGTAAACAAATAAAAAGATAAAACAAGGTGCAGCCACAAGTGGGTTCTTGTGTTAGGTGAAGACAAAAATATGTAGCAGACGCAAGTGGGTCCTTAAGTTAGCTGTTTCTTGGACCTGTTGATGAGATCATGGCATTATAAAAATTCGCAACTTGATGAATATAATATATCCACTAGGGGTGGGCACGGGTCGGATACCCGGAAAAATCGAGAGATTTGGATTCGGATCCGGGAGGCTCGGGTATTTAACTATGAGATTTGTATCCGGGATTTGGTATTTACGAGTATCCGGGGTACGGGTATCCGGAATAATAGTCGGGTACTCGCGGATATCCGGATCCGGATTTATTTAAGAAAAACAACAATATTCATATATAAAATTTTTAAAACATGAAGATATATTTATAAAAATTGATGAATTATGATAAAATATATAAGACAAAAGAGATAATAAGAGACAAATAATAATAAATTTAATTTTTTTGAATTAATATTAAAAAAATATGAAATTATTTCATCTAAAATAATTGTATTTTATAAAAATGTTATATAAATATAAGATATAATTATTTATAATCATAATACGCGGGTACCCGCGGATATCCGGTTTTAAAAATTCTATTATCCGGATTTGGATCCGGATTCACGGGTATTGAAAAATAAGGATTTGGATTCGGATTTGAAAATTACGAGTACCCTAAAATCGGATATCCGTGAGACGAGTATCCGACGGATACCCGATTTTCGGGTATTTGTGCCCAGCCCTAATATCCACTGGACAACGTGAGCATTTTTACAATAATTGAAACGTGTTCATGATTCCTTCTTTCCTCACTGGACAAAAGTGGGAATACATTGTTTACACCCTTTTGTCCCCTTAGTTTATCCCCAAGATCTGGGTTTAGATTATTCATAAAGCGGTTTCCTTTTTCATTTACAATGAAAAGAAGCATTAGAAATGAAGATCTCACATATTGGATCTTACTTGTTTAATGAGCTCTCTTCTCAATATTTTACCAGAAGCCGTTTTCGGGACACTGCTTATGAAGGAGACCCGTTGCAGCCTTTTGAAAGGGGCAACCTGCAAAAACAAAAAAAGCAGAGACAATATCATACGGTTCGATTTGTAGACATGTGTCTGTTATAGCTTGAAGATCTTAAATCCTGTTTAGGCCAAAGGAATCCTAAACTGAAGCCTTTTTTCCCTCATATCAACGTTTCTTGTTAAGCTGAGATGGGAATTACAGTTAGTTTTATGTAAAGTTCACAGCAAAAGATTGAATATATTGCTGTGATGAATGAGTTTTACCTGCTTAGCTATGAAATTTTGGATTTCTTCCTCTGTCAATGAGCTATTGGGTGCCCGGACAACAAATGCGATTGGAACTTCACCAGCTTCTTCATCTGGGCACCTGCAAAATGCACCACGAGATGATATGTCTTCGACGTGGGAAGACCAAAGGATGAACTATATGACCTCTGGGAATGGATTTAGTGTTCTGAAAATGACTTACGGAACAACAGCAGCATCTAGTATCTTATCTCAGGGTGAGACACAAGAAGTCCTTCAAGTTCTGCTGGAGCAACCTGGGAAAATGTCAGTGGAAACAGAGGAAATCAGTTACAGGTATATGAGCCATTAGGGCCTTAGGGAAATAGCTAAACCAACAGAGAAACACACTTGATTGATATAAGGTATAAGAGAGTCTATACACCAACCACTGGACCAACATTCGATGATTTGAAACACAAACTTACCTGGAAGCCTTTGTATTTGATAAGTTCCTTGATCCGATCAACAATGTAAAGGTTGCCATCATCGTTGAAGTAGCCAAGATCCCCAGTATGTACCCAACCCTTTTCGTCAATTGTCTCCTTCGTGGCCTGAGGGTTATTAAAATACCCTGAAAGATAATTGATTTCAAACATTTGCAATAAGATATCAGTGCACAAGACTTCTCACAAAAGAAGAATTAAAAGAATTCGTGCTCGAAGATTCAAATGGAAAATAAAGTATCGATCTTTCTTTGTCATCTGCCAAAGGCAGACACTTTACAAACCAACAGTGAGAGAGATGACAAGATTATGCAGGATTGAAATGGCTACCTCTCATCATGTTAGGTCCCCAAACCCATATTTCACCGAACTGATCAGGAGGCAACGGTTTTTGAGTTTCTAAGCTGACTATCTGCGCTTCAACTCCAGAGACAAGCATTCCAACCGAACCTGTATTCCGTTTTCCGAGTCTTGGATCTTCCATGGAGATGATACCACAAGTTTCAGTCATACCATATCCCTGAAGAAATAATAAGAGGACGCTTCTTTCATAAACTGCATTGTTAAGAACGTTCACCCAAAAGGAATCCCTACGCTAATGAAAATAGCTATACAGGAACAGATATATGGATAAATACAAGACGATCTAATTCAGAAATGTGATTGCAGGTCGGTTACTAGAGAGGCAGAAGAAGTATTAAGAGATCTTCCAGTACTTAACTAAATCTTATTAAATGTCTCCACGAATATTTGATCAGATTCTTTACCCAGAAAAAAGGAATATTTGATCAGATATGCATCTATTCACAAGAAAACATTTCGCCCTAAAGCACTGCCCACTCGATCCTGCATCTGCGATGGAAAGCCGACCGTGTTATGCGTACTGTCCTCCTATCTTGTAAGTGCACTCCCTCATCTGCTAGTTCATCCCTCCTAGCTGATTGGTACTATCTTACTCGCTACTCGAGACCATCACCTTAGATATTACACCTCTGTTGTTAGACGGTTAGAATACTGTTTGATTGTCTCAGCTATATTTTGACCATTTGTTTATGGGTTCCTTATGTATACAGTCATGGACTGGTTGTACATTTTTGCTAAAGTAATATACATCACTTTCATCAAAAAAAAAAAAAACATTTCGCCCTAATGATATATGATAGTACTAAACCACTAAAAGCCGAAACCAAGAACAGGATGACCAAAGTACCTGCAACAGCATGACATTAGGGAAGTTTTTTCCGCATTCATCCATCAACTCTTTAGAAAGAGGTGCAGCTCCGGATCCAATGTAATTCAACGATGAAAGATCATAGATTTTTGTAGCACTATATTTGGAAAGAGCAAGAAGAACAGGAGGAACAACCCACAAATTGGTGACTTGATACTTCTCAATGTTCTTAAGAAGTGCCTCAAGTTCGAATTTCGCCATGGAAATCACAGCATTTCCTTTGCGCAGCTGAGAATATGTTATCACGACCAATCCAGCCACATGGAACATCGGGAGGAAGCACAAGAGCACGTGGTGCATCTGTCCCATGAGCTCTTGATCCATCGTCATCATCAAAGACGCCGCAATGAAATTCCTATGAGTCAATTCAACGCCTTTGCTTGTGCCCGTGGTACCAGATGAATATAACAGAGCAGCTGTGTCGGATTGTTTGACGTCGACCAATGGGAAATCTGAGACAGACCCAGATAAACCCATCACGTCATGGAAACTGACAACCTTCGAGCTCGACCCCGTACGAGAAACCTGTACGGATTCTCGCGGTCCGAGCAGAACAACGGGAAGATCAAAAGCCTTAATTTTGTCGAGCAGTTGGTGGACAGACACAATGACTTTCGGTTTCGAGTCCATAATCTGCTTCGAAAGCTCCTCCACTGTGTAAAGAGGATTCGCGGTGGTGGAGACGCCGCCGATAGCGGCGAGGGCGAGGAAACAGAGAGGGAACTGTAAAGAATTGGGCGCGAAGATCAACACAACGTCGTTTTTACGAACACCCAGACGGAGAAACCCGTGGGCGAGTCTGGCGACGGCGGATTTGAGCTGAGCGAAGGTGAGAGACTCGCCGGAATCGGAGTCGATGAGGGCAGGCTTCGTCGGGTAAGAAGAAGAATCACGGAAGAGGAAAGAGACTAAGGAGAGATTTGGGTCGCTGGGGAGAACGAAGGGCGGACGAAGCGACCGGAAAATGCCGTCGCTGCCATAGCCGGATTTCTCCATCGCCGGAGGGGATGAGATGCAGCAGATAGAAGGGAGTAGAAGCAGAAGTAGAAGGAGAGGACTTATAAAAAGGAGGAGCGGAAGAATACGTAAAGAAATTGAACGTGCATGTCATGGGAATTTGAGAGCACGACATTAACGTCAATTAGGTGGTTCCAAAAGACTAATATGCATACGCATTAAATTATTTTAATAATCAGTAACCAGAAGTTGGTTATAAAAATAACAGCTTAAAATTAAAAAAATTTCAAAAATCATCATATAAATATACAATTTTTCTAAATTTTTACTAAAATATATAAAGTTTGTAAATATCACCATAAATCTGCAAAAATTTGCAAAGTTGATATATAAACTTTGTGTATTTGTATTGAAAATTTTTAAAATTTTTTAGAAAAAATAAAAAAAACATTGAATTTCTCGATTTTGACAAAAAAAGACCATTGAACTTTATTTGTTGTCAAATAAACATTAAAATTTAAAAAAAAAATCTAAAAAATACTGAATTTTTCAAGTGATCCAAAAAATATATAAACTTTTTATGTGAATATAAAAAAACATTGAACTTTTTAGTGATCCAAAAAAATATATAAACTTTTTTCGATTGTCAAAAAAAACAATAATTTGACGTGTTTGCATCTCTTTACGCCGCATTAGCCATTTTGTTTATTTTGATAGATTAAGTGTTTGTTTTGTCAAATTTAAAAAGTTTAATGTTTATTTGATAAAATAAAAATTTCAGTAGTGTTTGGAATTTTTTTCTTTTAAAAATTTATGTTTTTTAGACTTTTTTTTCTAAAATTTAAATAATGTATAATTGTCTTGACGTAGGTACTAAAAGCCGATCAATCTGATAAAAATAAATCAAAACTCGTACAATAATTACTTGCATAATAAAATCCACAGAGGACGTGAAAGAGACATGACCCTAATCTTATTTACGTTATTATGTAGAGGCAAATGATTCATTCGAATGAATATAAAAGTAACTGATAGATTAGAATAAAATTGAAAGAAAAAAAATTCAATAAAAATAAAAATAGAACTGAGTCTAATATAAAAATGTAACGGATATAGCTTTTTTTAAAAAGAACAAAAAATCTAAATTTGAAAATAAACTATGATCATTTCATTCAACATGTGGAAATGAATCGGTGCATTAATATTCAATGTTCAATGCCTAAAGTCACGATATCGTTTAATTGCGTCCACGAACATGTCTATTGTATGATATAATCGAGAAGAAAACAACAGTCATCAATTCAGGAATCGTTGAAAGTATGTTCTTAAACAAAATTCACTGTTTTATATTTTCAAATAGATGAAGTATTTCAAAAATTCTTAGGTTTTTTTTTTTTTTTGTTTCTGACCAAATTATGACAAGAAGAAAGAATAGAAAATAAAATTATAACCAAGTTACTCTGTATACAACATGAATATATATAATTTTTTATCAACATTATACGGATAATTTTGTATGAATTATAAAAAAAATAGATCTTGTATTTATATTTTAGATTTTAATAAAAAAATCTCTAATAATTGAAAGTATATATCACCCTGAGGCCTGAGTTCAAATCCAAGTGTGGGGAGGGGCATTCACCTGAGTTTCTCCGGACTTCTGGGAGATGTAGTTGGATCAAAGATCCGGTGAACTTCCAGATTATCAAAAAAAAAAGGTTTACATATCCAAATTTTTTTTGGTCCTTTTTTAGAATTTGGATCTGTTATGTTTGGTAATAAATAGGGCAAGTTTTCCGGGTACAGATTTCTTGATTTTCTCAGAATCAAATTGAAAAATGTGACGAAAAACGAGTGATGAAATTTGTTATCGGTTCTTCCGATTAAGAGGAGAACATCGATACATATGCACACACGCGGGCATATATATTGCAGGGGTAAATCCGGATCGGATATCCGAATTTGTGGATACGCAAGTTCAGTCTCGTTTCCACTTGGTCTCAATCTTGATCTTGCTAGATTCGAGTACCTATAATTAAATCAGGTACCCAAATCTATAATTTTTTTGTAAATTTCGCTGATTTACTTTAAAGTAAATTGTATTTTACATTAAAAAAATAGATTTAGATATTATTGTAAATATATTAAAATAGTAGAGATATAAACATAATTTTACTTCTACTCGCATATATGTGGATATCCGTGGTTCGTGGTTTGGGTTCTTGTCCTTGTCATACCGGTATTCAGTTTTGTTGATCGAGTATCCACAATATCGGGTATCCGAAAACAGCCTTTGAAAGTTCTAGCCACGATCACCGTAAAGGAGCTAGCAAGTACGTTTCTTTCGGGAATTTGTACCGCGAAAATTGATAGAATGGGACTGCACTAAATGATCATTCTCTTCTGCATCTTTCTGCTATATCCACAGTCAGAGAGCATGTATGCGTGATCCTTTAAGCAACGTGTTCCCTTGATTGCCCGTCGTTAAATACTACCGCAGAAAAGCGGCATCCGAAGGATCTAAAGCTGTCTCAGCCGATCTTGCTGCTGCTGGTGTCCATAACCAATCAGAAATGGTAACAATATCGAGATTTCTCAGAATCTTCTCTGCTCGATACAAAATCGCCAGAGTTTCTTCATTTGAAGGGTGTTTTAACTTCCGGAACCTTCTCTGCAGGCGGACGATGACGTACGAATCAGCGGCTCAGCAACAAAGAGCTGTTGTTTCAGAACATGGACTATGCACTTGATCTGTTCCTCACCTATGTCTTGACACTTTCCATATTTCCCGGGTTCTTGTACGAACACAGAACAAGGATTCGTTTCCCAACCTGGATATGTTCTTGTTGTTCTCGAGAAAACCCGTGAAGACAAAACTCGTAAGTCTTAAATTTTTGCTACATGTACCAGCTTGTGCCGATCACAATGTGCAATTGTTGGGATCTGATCGGAAG